TTCTAGCAGCAAAAAAGACAAAAGTATCAATAACCCATAGTAAAAGGCTCCGGAAAGTCGCCGAAGACGATATCACTTTCACGGAGGAGGATGCAGACGGATTATTGCCGCCACACAATGATGCACCGGTAATTTCTTTAAATGTTCTAGATTTTAAGATTAAACGTGTTCTAGTGAATCCAGGAAGTTCGGACAATATCATACAATAGAGAGTATTGGAGCAAGCTAAACTCACCAGAAGCATCATTCCGGCCACAAAACTCCTCGCCGGATTCAATCTCGCGAGCGTGACAACCCGAGGAGAGATTTTGTTACCCACAAATGCTGAAAGAGTAATGAAAACAACTCTTTTCGAAGTGGTATATGGTGATATGGGATATAACATTATTCTGGGAAGGTCGTGGTTGCACAAAATGAAAGCTGTACCATCGACATATCATCAATTATTGAAGTTTCCAACGCTCGAAGGAGTTAAGCAGATAAGGGGTGACCAACCGGCGGCAAGGGAGATGAATGCAATTTTGATCTCCAGTAGCAAAGGAAAGGAACACGCGACATAGCAATCACAAGAACCAGCGCCCGCTCCCGAACTAGATAAAGTTAGCCCGGGGGCAGAAACATCGAAATTTTATCAAGTGCCGAGATATTTCCAAGTTCCAGAAGAGACAGATGCAATGAAATCCACAACGGAAGAACTTGAGCAAGTTGCATTGTTCGAAGAATTCTTAGAAAGGAAACATCACTTGGGGACAAGACTGCATCCCGAGATCATGTCTGCTTTATTAAATTTCTTAAATATAATACTGATTGTCTTGCATGGTCGCATGTAGATATAGCAGGTATCCCGATGGAGGTAGTCGTACACAAGTTTAAGTTTGAATCCCAACGTACCTCCGGTAAGACAAAAGAAACACCTTATTGCCGAAGTCAGGAATAAATTGTCAAGGAAGAGGTAACTCGCTTACTTAATATCGGTTTGATCTGAGAGGTAAAGTATCCAAACTGGCTAGCTAATGTAGTAGTAGTTCCTAAGAAAAATAATAAATTTTGCATGTGTGTAGATTATAATGATTTGAATAAGGCATTCCCGAAAGACTCGTTCCCACTGCCAAACATCAATAAAATGATTGATGCTACGCCGACCACGAGTTAATGAGTTTCCTTGATGGTTATTCCAGGTACAATCACATTAAGATGAACCCAGAGGATCAAGAAAAGACTTCGTTTATAACGAATTTAGGTACATATTGCTATAATGTGATACCCTTCGGGTTGAAAAACGTCGGAGCCACTTATCAATGGCTCGTGAATAAGATGTTTGAAAAATAAATAGGAAAAACTATGGAAGTTTATATAGACGATATGCTCAATAAGTCTTTAAATGCAGGTGATCACCTTAAACATCTGAAGAAACTTTTGACATCCTAAGAAAGCATAATATGAAACTTAACCCCGAGAAATTCACGTTCGGGGTCAGCTCTAGTAAGTTTCTGGGATTTCTGGTATCTCAAAGGGGAATTAAGGTAAACCCCGATAAGATCAAGGCCATAGAAGACATCCCGGACCAACTGTCAAGCATTAAGGAACTCCAAAGGCTCACAGGGAGATTGGTAGCTTTGAGCAGGTTCATTTCTCGGTCATCAGAAAAAATGTCATCATTTCTTCGCTCTGCTCAAAAAGAAAAATAATTTCGAATGAACCCCGGAGTGACAACAGACTTTGAGATATTTGAAAAAGTACTTGTCATGCCCTCCATTGCTTTCAAAACCAAAAAAAGGTAAAACTTTGTTAGTCTACCTCGCAGTCTCGCAAGTCGCAGTAAGTGCAGTTTTAGTCCGTGAGGACGAAGGTACGCAATCTCCCATTTATTACGTTAGTAAAATTTTAACAGGAGTAGAAACTCCCTATCCCCATTTGGAAAAACTGGCCTTAGCTCTCGTAGTCGCTGCTTGGAAGCTGAGGCCCTACTTCCAATGTCACCCGATAGTCGTGGTGACCACTTTTACTTTGCGGAACATCCTTCACAAACCCGAGCTCTCGGGTAGATTGGACAAATGGTCTATATAAATGAGTGAATTCGATATAGAATATAAACCAAGGATTGCAATTAAGTCACAAGTCTTGGCTGACTTTGTGGCCGATTTTAGTCCGAGATTGCTGCCTTTGGCAACCAAAGAGGCAGTAATGGTATCGGAATCGACATCGGGGGTTTGGACCTTATTTTACGGATGGAGCTTCTAACGTAAAAGGGTCCGGGCTTTGTATAGTATTAATCATGCCTTCGAGGGAAACTCTAAGGCAACCATTAGAACGATCCATTTAACTAACAATGAAGCAGAGTATGAGGCTTTAATTGCAGGGCTCGAACTGGCCCGGGGACTTGATTATGAGGTCATCGAAATCAAATGCGACTCACAGCTGGTGGTAAATCAGGTCTACGGGATCTTTGAAACCAAAGAGGAGCGCATGCAACAATATATGATAAAGGTCCAGGCTCTGTTGGCACGATTTTGGGAGTGGTCGATTACTCATTTCTTGAGGGAAGATAACGCAGAAGCGGACGCATTGGCTAACCTTGGATCATCGACAGAAATAAAGGGATCGTAGTCCGGGACGGTAGTACAATTGAAGAATTCGGTCCTGAATACAGATAGATACTATGAGGTTAATGCAACTAATATTATCTTGTACTGGAGGAATGAAATCATCGATTATCTCGAGCACGGGAAGTTTCCCGAAGACTCCAAAGCGTCCCGGGAGCTGCGCGCCAAAGCAGCGCGATATAGCTTCAAGAGTGGCCAATTGTATAGAAAATCTTTCCAAGGCCCGCTGGCCCGATGCTTGGGGGCATCTGAAGCTAACTATGTTATGCGAGAAGTCCACGAAGGGCTATGCGGCAATCATTCGGGCATAGATTCCTTAGTGCTAAAATTGGTAAGGGTAGGATATTATTGGCCTCACATGGAACAAGATGCCAAAGATTTCGTACGAAAGTGTGATAAGTGTCAATGCTATGCAGCACCGGTACATCAACCGGCAAAACCATTGCATTTGGTTCTGTCCCCATGATCATTCATGAAATGAGGGATGGACATCGTCAGGCCATTGCCGCCGGACCCCGGAAAGGTAAGATTTCTTTTGATTTTGACTGACTATTTTTCTAAGTGGGTGGAAGCATGTCCTTATCAGAATATCGATGAGCGTGAAATGGTGGATTTCTTGTGGGAAAATATAATTTGCAGGTTCGGAATACCAAAAGAGATAGCATACGATAATGGGCTATAATTTATCGGTGCAAAAATCACAAATTACCTCAAAGATTTAAAAATAAGGAGTATCACATCTTTACCCTACCATCCGAGCATAAATGGTCAAGTAGAGTAAACGAATAAAGTGATTATACAAAACCTCAAAAAAAGGTTAGAAACGGCTAAAGGTAATTGGCCTGAGGAATTACCCAGAGTTTTATGGGCATACCGAACAATGGCCAAATCGAGCACAGGAGAAACTCCCTTTTCCCTTGTGTACAGGATCGAAGCTTTAATCCCGGTGGAAGAAGGGGAACCCACCTTGAGATATTTCCAAGAAGATGAAGAAGCAAACAATGAAGCAATGTTAGTCAACTTGGAGCTACTCGATGAGCGTAGGGACTTGGCACATTTAAGAATAGCAGCCCAAAAGCGGAGAATGAAGTGGTATTATAATCGAAGAGCCGATCTCCGTTATTTCAAAGTTGGAGACTTGGTCCTAAGAAAAGTAACTCAAAGCACCCGGGAACTCAATGCAGGGAAGCTAGGTCCAACATGGAAAGGCCCCTACCAGGTTTCAGCTGTCATTGGGAAAGATTCATATGAATTAGAAAACCAAGATAGAGAAAAATTGCCCAGCAACTGGAATGTGGCACACCTTAAAAGATATTATTGTTGATGAACATCACCTGAACTGAAATTATATGCTGCACTCTTTTTACCTTCGTCCAGTTTTTATCCCAATTAGGTTTTTCTAGCAAGGTTTTTAACGAGGCAGCAATAGAAAGCATACTACGAAGAAAGCTCCAACATCAACAATAAGACCTTTAATAGCAAGGCATACAAGCAAAGATCCACTCTGGGACAGTTAGATAATCTTTTGCTCTATAGCAAAATTCCCACCGGGAACTAAATTTGTTATCGAGTAGAGGTTACCCAACCGTTCACAAGTATAAACCATTAGAGGGTTGTTACATAGTCCTTCGCTCGATAGCATGAATTCCTGAGGGGATGTAAAGTGTGTTATCGAGTTAAGGATTATCTAGCAATTCATTAGTGGGATCCTCGAAGGTACGAGGCTTCCAATGTTCCAATTCGCATTCTTCGCATTTGAACACTGAGGGGGGAACGCTATGAGGATACGGCAACAATGACTGCCATGTCGACCGGAAAGAGAAAACTGAAAACATAGTTGTATCATTAGGACCGGGGCTGCGCGACCAACCCCGTAGAAATAAGTTGTACAAGTTAGCCACAAGTAATGGCAATTTCTTTTTTCAGCATAACAAATTCTTATGTAGTTTTGAAAATAGAAGGAAAAAAATGAAGTCCTTTTGTTTTTATCTTGTTTCTTGTCTGAACGATGAATTAACTTTGTCATTTGAAAGTTAAACAAGTACTTCAAATGCTAGTACCGTAATGAACATGAAACGTCCTCTTTAAGAGCACTGTAAATATAAGAGGGTCTTCTCTTATAAAAATCCTCATGCTAAAGGGTTGATTTCAAAAGAACTCATGCCCGGAATCAAAATGGTTTCGGAAAAAATACACCCAAGGCCTCACATAATAAGACGCAAACAGTAAAACTTGCACAAAACTCTTAAGCAAAAAGAAGAGAATGCAAAGATTAAAACTTGCATAAATGTTCAAATGAAGAAAACACTCAAATAATACTTGAGAAAAAAGATATTTTTATTTACAATAACATACCAAAATGGCACAAATACAAGATTTGGAAAAAGAAAAGAAAAGCTAAACTGCAGCATCTCTGGGACCCGGAGGAAGAGAAGTGTTTGTGCCCCCAGGGGAAGTGGATAGATCTGCCGATGGCTCAATATTTTGGCCTTCGCCAGTTTGGCCTTCAACATCTTCATCTTCCGCTTCCTCTTCAGTTCCTGAAGTTTCGGAACTGGAACCGGAAGAACCAGAAGCATCAGGCTCTGCCGGGAGACCATTTTTAGCAGCCAACTCAAGCTCACGGGCCTTAGCAATTTCAGCATCAAAGTCAATGATACCAGATTTGGCCTCTTCCAAGATTTTTCTCCTCATGCTGTACATAGCATAAGTTTTCTCAACTACGAGGGAAGCCACTTGGTGCTTAAGTTCTTCTTTGAGTTGGGTTACCTCGGCAGAAAGGCTTTCCTGGGTGGATCTAACGGATCTAAGGCTAACATCAAGGTCGCACACAATTGAACCAAAGATCTTATTATGCTCAATGGCTTTCCTATACTTCTCCTCCAGCTGGGTATGTTTCGCCCCCGCAGCAGCAAGTTCTTCAGTTTTGGAGTTCAAGGCTACCTCTAAGTTAGTCAATCTTTCATCAGAGGCAACCTCACGATCAAATGTAGCAAGAACGACGTTATGAACTTTAATCCATTAGGCCTTAGCCTCTTCAAATTGAACCTTCAACGGGTAAATCTGTTGGCTAAGGGTCTCCACTTCTTGCTCGCTTTGCTGTAAACAAGCCTCCAATACAATGGCCTCAGTGGATTTGGTTTCCAGTTCTGAAAGGCGAGCGACACTTTGCTCTCGCTTTGGCAAAAACCGATCCCGTGCAGAGGAAATTTCTTCCTTCTCACGAATCAACCTCTAAAGACCCTCGGAAGCAAGAAAGTTGGCCTACAAAGCAAGAAAGGTAAAACTCAGGATATGTTCAGGAAAAAAATAGAAGAAATAACAAATGAATAAAGAAATGTACCGCTGCGATATTGTGCATGGTGTTGTTCAACAATCACTCTCCGAGAGTTCCTAAATCTTTTCCCAATCTTTCTCTGAAGCCAAAGTCTTCAAATAATTAGCAAGCTCCATCGGCAGGGATAGCAAGTTGCATCCGATAGAGATTGAAAGAGTAACATTCCTTTTCCTTTGTGGATCTTCATAAGGGGCAGCATAACTTTGCTCCAAATTCCCATGAACTAGGGAAAGGCGAAAGGGAACACTTTCTTCGTGGTCAGGTGCAACAGGTGGAGATGATGTAGCAGTTGCTGGTGGAAGAGTGGATGAAGGTGGAAATGATGTAGCACTTGCTGGTGTTGGTGAAGATGGAGATGAAGCTGATGGGGTTGAAGAGTGAGAAGAAGCAGCACCAAATGCAGTGCTAGTTATTGGTTGCTCATCAGCCGAAAATGGAAGGGACCCGGTACTCAGCCTCAAAAAACTGGGCGAGGCGACTGCGATACGGAAGCGGGAGTTGGCATTTTCTACCATATCATATTCCCCCTAGAGCATCGAGACAACATCCTCGGATGGTATAACTAACTCGACAGGTTGAGCATTCTGTTAAGTTGATGAGGATCGTCGCCTTCTATGTAGAGAAGTTCCCCCATCACTAGCTTCTTCATCATCGTCGATCATCACAGTGTCTATGACCGGCTCGAGAAGAGGGCTAGTCACTACAACTATTGGAGATGACTCGAGGGCAACAATCTTCACCCTCTTATTCTTTTCCCCGGCCATGGAGGAGTGTCTTCTTTTTGGTTGTTTGTCCTCTAGCCGGGGATTCTGTAAAGAAACACTTGTGCCAGAAGCAGGCCCAGAGACACCTGTTCGATTAAGCATCTCCTGAAGCAGCCTCGCCGCGTCAGCAGGATCAGCCAAAACATCCTCCTCGGGGACAAAAAAACAGATCCTGTGCGTAGACCTGATTTCAGAGAAAAGATAGAAGGGGTCAATCAATTTCTTCACATAAAAAACTGATCTAAGTTACCATGGTTTTTGGCCTTACACCTATATTTAAGGGCCAGTTCATTTCACATGCGGGTTTCGGGCGTAGTGGCATCCAAGATCTTTTGGACCTACTGGTCCAAGCCTTCAACCGTCAGTAGGACCCATCGAGTTGCTGAAACAGGCGAAAGATGGAGGATCAATACGAGTATAAAAGAATACCTAAATATTAAACAAGGAGCTTACGAGTGATGTTCCATGCTTTCAGAAATGATGAAGCCGTTTCCAGAATGATGTCGTTGGTTGCAACAAACCATTCCATCCACTCACTGTTGTTGTCATCATCCATGCTAGATAACAGATCATGATGGCCATGTTTGCTAAAATTTATCATTTCCCCGCGGAAGATTTTGGGGGAATAAATTTTCATCACATGAGCTAAAGACAGCTCCTCTCCCATCATTTGGCACAAGCGCCGAAGACAGCAATCGTCCTCCACACAGAAGGACTTACTTGTGCCAAACATACCTGATAGCGGAGGTAGATTTCCGCAATAATGGAGTCAAGCTCTCCAATCAAAGAGAACGCACCCAAAGTAAATGGATACGTATAAAAATATGTAAAACCCTCCTTGGGAAGGGTCACTCACTCCGATAGATCAGGAGCAACAATATCCAAATCATGGCAGCAACAGTCTTCCTTCACAACTGGAATACTGGAAGAACGGATGGAAGAAGGATATCTGCCAACAGCCCATGTGCGAGGGAGAGCCGAAGGGAATTTCTCTTCGAAGTCTTTTATTGTAACAAGATTCTAGGAATAATGGAATCCACCGTTGGAGGAGCAACATCCTTGGCTTTGTTCTTGCCCTTTGAAGAGCTAACGTTCTTTGAAAAAGAAGCCATTTGGATGAAATAAAAGCTTTTTTGTTTGAAGGGAGTTAAAGAAAGGTTTATTAACACCAAGAATTTTTTTAGAAAACTTGGGAAATTATGGAGTATAAGTGGAGAAGGTTGATGCGTATAAGTAAAAGTTTTGGCGGCTAAATTCACGGCCATGATTACCTCGATAATCGGCAAAAGTTGAGTTGAATCGTGGGATGACGCGTGTTCGGGGCATTAAATGCGAAGAAACGTGCGTCTAATCAACCGTCAGAAGCCTTCATAGGGGATCATAGTAATTCCCGTCAAAAGAGTGTTTCTACCAACTTTCTCGTGACACAAAGTTCTGTTATCAGAAAGTAGGGGGACTATCTGTATAGGGTAAAACATGCTATGCTACGTGGCCGCCCAAAAGAGGAACACATGGAAACTAAGACGTGGATAACCAAAACCGAAGGCAACAGTCCCGTCTGTCACCGAAAAGAATAACGCTCATAAGGATGCAATAAATACTCTTCGCCCGATAGCATTTAATGGAGAATATTCCACATCATTAAGTATGTTGCCCGTTATAAGAATTTTGGCATTTATGCGCACCGTTACATCTTCATCAATGACCCTCATAATTGACATTAAAGAAGGGCACGATCCTAGGACCTCCTTTCCTAGACGTAGCTATAAATAGTTAGCTCTACTATCATTGTAAGAGGACGAATTTTCTGGCAATCCAATACTACAATCTACTCAAAGCTCTAGTTAATTTTATCTTCTTATTTTTTGTTCTTGTTACTATTGCGCCCGAAGGCTTCACTACTAGAATCTTTATTTCTGTCATTTCGTCTTTCTATCAAGGCTAAGTATTATATATTTCTTCAATTATTTTGTTATTTCAGGAATTAATTAATTCAACTGTCTAGAAACCACGTATAAATTAAACTGTACCGTTTTACGGGTAAATTAAACAATAATATCTTCTCTGAAATCTGCTTTGTTATCTGTTGACAAGGGGTGAGATTGGTGTCAACTTTCACTCTCAATGTCAAAGCTTTTGTTGGCGCAATCCTCAAATTTACTTTTTTGGAAGAAGGGTAGTTATATAGAAGCGAAAAACCCATGTACATAACGATTTTATCAAAATTAGCCCTGATATAATGTTGATCGTCTCGATTATTGTTTTTTTTTATTATGTATAATTACTTATCCAAAGTTCCAAATGGTTATGGAACCAGTAAACTAGCAAGACCCTAGATGTTGCTTTCTTCTTTTAAAATAAAAAGTAAGAAAAAAAAGATACAGGGCAATGGGACAAAGAGAAATACCTGTTGGGGAATAAGAGGTAGGAACTAGGAAGTCATGTAAAACGTTTCCGAAAAGTTATTTATTTTCTTGTACGATTGATTCTTTATTATAAAATAATATTTTTGACGCATGAGATTATCACAAATCAAATATCTATTATTTAGTCCTAAAGTTCAGTTTCTTTCTTGCTTATTTTTCTTTAATTTATTTAATTATTTTTTGTTTGGTAGCAGGGGTAGAATAAAGAGATAGATGATAAGAATAATGAAGCTCTTTTTAGTGGAGTTAGGACTTACTTTAAGTGATATATGTGGAATTTTCATCTCTGTTTTCTAGAGTGCTTAATCTTAAGAGTTTAAAGTTATATATATATCGTAATATAAAAAATTATACCACCCGGTCATCATTATCTATTGTAGTAAGTAAATGTTTTATTTTAAACTCTTATCTTAATATCTCTCAATTGTTCTCAATCTGAAATTAAATAGAGAAATATATATATTTTTAGCCACTCCCAAAAATAATACTAGCCAACAAAATATATAGGTACATATAATATTCACTAGTCTTAAGGTACGCGTGTTGTGCGTATATCCATATCAATGAGTTAAATATTTTTAAAATTATACAATTCTTATTAAACTATGAGATTGAGTTATAAATAAAATTATAAAAAATACAAACTCTTGAAAATGATGAATATTGATCCTGCTTAGCCAACTTAATAAAGAAAAAAATTATATCATACAAAAGTACTCTGATATTTTATCATAGCTATAATATATGAGATGTGCAGTTATTTTAGTAGCTCGGACCTAATATAATAATATCTTGATTTATATACTCTAATATCATGCAATAACTCAGTATTCTCGATGACCTTAAAGCAACTCAAGTACCTAATATGAGTTTCATCTTATTCCTATTGGACCTCACAAATATTCAAACAAATCTTAACAAAACAAAAGCTTAAATTTTCAAAAGTATATTATTTTTAATCTCAACATTGATGTTAAAATATGTGAAAATATCCTTTTATTTTTTTTAATCAAACCTTACTTCCAACAACACACATAATCTTATATTTTAAAGTATTCTCACTTATTATTCTTTAGCTTACTGTTATATAATATAGATAAATAATTTTATGAAAATTTAATAGATAATTCTAAAATCCAGAAAGTTACTAAGTACGCATTAGTTTGTTTAATATGAATTTTTGATATGGGTATTCATATCCTAAAACTATCAAAAGTACTTATTTTTTAGAGAAACAAACTTTTTCAGCTTTTGCTTAAAAGCTTAAAGATAGTTTATGCTACCGCTCAAAATACTTATTAATTAATTTAAATTTATTTATTAATTTACGATTATATTTTTGAGAATAATAAATTCTTCACTGTAGCTTTTGTAGTAAATATAATATTCCTATTTAATTCGACATAATTAATATTAAGTTTTAAAATATACATTCCTATCAAAATATTAAGTTTTTCCTCTTAAATTATATTTCTTAGTTTTAATTTAATATGTAAGTAAGAAAATAGTTGAAAATGCAAATTTCAGCATATACACCTTCCAACAGTGATAATGTTTTTATTTAACTTTGTATAGCATTAAGAAATTAAAAATATTATATCAATTAAGAAGTTAAAAATATTATATCAACTGTTAGCATTTAATTTTGTGGAGAATTACATCCCTTATCACTTGGCCCAACAACCCATCAGAAAATGGCCCACGTTTGAAGCCCTTAACCACTGTAGCCCAGGTTGTACATAACCTAAAAATTACTTTTCACCAGTTAGCCCCCTTTTTTCTTCGTTCTTCTTCTTCTTCTTCTTCTTCTTCTTCTTCTTCTTCTTCTTCTTCTTCTTCTTCTTCTTCTTCTTCTTCTTCTTCCCGTATCAACCTTGTGATGACCTAAAAGGTCATCTTATGTTTTAGAACTCGAATCAGCGCTCTTAAGCCTTGAAAATCTCATTTTTACCCTTCCCGATTTACGTGCGCAGTCCGGGCAGGTTTTCGAAAAGCTTTTATGTTAAAAACTAATGAAAATAAGAATTTTTGCCTTAAAAGTTAATTTTAATTGATTTCGGTTAATATTTTTAGTAAACAGGCCCGGATCTGTGCTTTGATGGTCCCGGTGGATCCGTATCAAATTATGGGACCTAGGCGTATGCCCAAAATCGAATTTGGAGGTCCCTAGCTTAAGTTATGAATTTTTGATGAAAATTAAAAGTTTAGAAATTATTTATTTTTAAGAATTGATTGATATTTGGCATTGTTAGTATCAGATCCGTATTTTGGTCCCGGAGCTCGGTACAAGTTCATTACGATATTTAAGACATGTCTGTAAAATTTGGTGAGAAACAGAGTTGATTTGACGTGATTCGGACGTCCAGTTGAGAAGTTATGGATTTTAAAGTGTTCTTGCGAATTTCATTTGAATTGGTGCTAAATTTAGAGTTCTAGGTGTTATTTTGGCGATTTGATCGCACGATAAAATTCGTATGATATTTTTAGACTTGTGTGCATGTTTGGTTTGGAGTCCCGAGGGCTCGGGTGAGTTTCGGATAGGTCACGGGATGTTTTGGACTTTGAAAATCTGTTTTTTCTGCAGAATCTGTGTTCTGGCATGTCCTTCTTCGCGTTCGCGAAGGTAATCTCGCGAACACGAAGAGTAATCCGATGAGGCTGAGAATCCTTCTTCGC